AAGGTCCTTTTTTACCGTTTTTTTTTTTTTTTTTTTTTTTTTTTTTTTTTTTTTTTTTTGAGATACTTCATAGGCAATTCCAGTAGCCTAATACTTTGGAGCAGAGACCTCAAACTCGGATGTCCTGACGGGTCACAAAGTGAACATCAGAATGAAGGGGTTGGGCTAAAGACAACGGGGAACCTGAAGAATCTGAAAAAGGGAAGTATGGAAGCCCTGTCCAAAGATGCTCGAATTCTGATCGTAATAACCGGCTGCCTGGCCCAGCCTCTGCGGCACGGTCAGTGGTATACCAGATGGCAGAGCGAAAAGCTACAAGCCAGCCGTGGCTCCCATCCCGGGCCTGGGCAGCCTGAACACATGCCGGGTGTGTGTCCTCAGAATCCCCGCAGCTGGAGGCTGGGAGGAAGAGGACTGCAGGGAGACTGAGCTCCGAAGGTGTCCTCACCTCTACCTCCCACACACACATGCTCTATCATGAACAGAGGGGAAAATAATCTGGCTAGCCAGACAAAAACACCTCTGGGGTCAGAGTATAAGTGTGCAATTTACGATTCAGTCAGTGTACACAGAAACACGGGCATCTGACAGTCCTGTGCTTGGGGTTCAGGCCACGCTTTCAGTCTCTAGTGGCCGATAACCTGGGAGGGTGCACATGTGCTATTTATCTCCTGAGCCACTGACTATCTTACTCAAATGACACGCTAATCCCTGTAAGGAAGAAAGTGGAGACTCAGACAGGGAGTTCTAGACCTGGACTTCCACACACCATTTACAAATGATAGCACCTACTAAAAGAATCACTATCTGTACATTCAGCTTCTGGATTAATTATTTCCATAGGAAAAGCCACACCACAACAAACAAACAAACAAAAAAACAAACAAACAAAAACCCAAACAAACCTTGGTCAAATCTCTATTTATCAAATGATCTACTAAAGTTAAAGCATTCCATAATTTTAATACACATATTTTTTTCTGTTTACCAGAGAGAGAGAGACAGAGTGAGATAGAGAACGGGAGAGTGAGGAAGCCCTCCCCAGTGGAATCTGATCGTGCTGCAAACCTTCCTCCTCAGTCTCTCCACCCTGCAGAATTCTGGGTAAGGGTGCACATGTGCACGGTGTGTTTTTCAAGCTGCCAAGGCCAGGATTTGAACTGTTGTCAACCATGTGGGATCCAGCTCTTAATCACTAGGTTATGGGGCTGGCCTATTTATTTTTCTTTATGTATAGAAAGTACAATCACTTCTGGTGAAGCTGGATCATTTACCCACATAGCGTGCTTTCTCCTAAATGAAAGAAGACCCAATAGTGACATAATCTTTTTGTAAAAAAGAATTACTCAATTTTGTTTGTTATTACCATTTTTTAATTTGACCAGAGACAGACAGAAAGGGAAAGTGGGAAAACAAGCTGCCAGGTCTGGGACTCGAACCACAGTTGGCTATGCAGGAGGTCCAGCAGCCCAACTGCCACGCTTCCTACCTGTGGTCCCAGTAACACAATCTTTACAGATGATTTTCCTATTGGTAAATTCTTACAATTTTCCAGTGTACTCAAATAATTTATATACATCTGAGGAAATACCAAGAACACGATATGCTCAAGAATTTCTTAAAGAGGGAACCAACAGTTAGCGTAATGGCTATGTCGCTGGATTCCTACGTAGTTGACCGTGGTTCGTGTCCCGGACCTGGTGGCTTAGAACTCACGCCAGGCGTGTGTGTGTGTGCGTGCCCAGGATCCCGAGAGGAGAATGGAGGAGAAGGGATTGTGGCGTGACCATTCCCCCTGGGGGGTGATTTCTTGCTTTCTGTCTCTCTGTCTCTCTCTGTCTGTCTGGCGAGCGCATGCGCCCTATAGCAAAAACCTCTCAAAAAAAAAAAAAAAAGAATTTCTTAAAGACAAACTCATCATACAGGAATAAACCCCAACTATGCAAAGACGGGCATGCTTTCTTCTATTAGAATTTTATGGTTAGTACTTTTTTTTCTCCTACCCTCAAATACTTTTTTTAAAAAGAATGATTTAATTTTATTTATTTATTATTATTATTATTTAATTTGCTACAGGGCAAGTGTGCTTGCCAGAGAGACAAGTAGAGTGGGAGAGAAGAGAAAAAATGAGAAAGTAAGCTGCCAGGTCTGGGGCTGGAACCACAATCGGTCATGTGAGAGTCCAGCTCCTTAATGACCATGCCACCTGCTGGCCCCAATACTTTTATTAATTTTTTTTAATTGTCAGAGGGCCAGAGACTGAGAGGAGGAGAGGGTAGGAAGCAGCCCCATGAGGCAAGGTCATGCTGCGATGCATTCTCCCGTCTCTCCGCCCTATCAGGATTTGGGGCATACATGCATGTGTACCTGGCACGTTTTTCAAGCTGCCAGGGCCAGGATTCGTACTGTGGTTGGCTTTATGGGATCTGGCTCCTTAACCACTAGGCTGCAGGGTTGGTGCTACATGCCAACACTTTTTTTTGGAGAGGATTTTTTTGCTATAGGGAATGTATACTCACCAGAGAGAGACAGAGAAACAGAAAGTGAGAAATCACCCCCCAGAGGGGATGGCCACGCCACAATCCCTTCTCCTCCATTCTCTTCTCCGGATCTTGGGCATGCACACACATGCGCCTGGTGTGAGTTTAAGCCACCAGGTCTGGGACTCAAACCGCAGTCAACTACATGGGAGTCCAACAACACAGCCATTACGCCAACTGCTGGTCCCCATGCCAACACTTTTAAAGAGCTGTCCAGTTTGGGTTTCATTAAAACAAAACAGAACAAAACTTATGATCCGCTCTCGACCTCAGGCCATCAATGACTACTGGATGAATAAAGAAATTGGTATATACTAAAACAAATAAGCATTTACAATATATAATTTAATTTGTTTTAAAAGTATTTTGTTAAAAAACAAGTTGTTCTGATAGCGGAGGACGACGGAAGGGTGGGAACTCAGGTGGAGCGCATGGAAAGGATCTCTCTGAAGGCACTAACATCTAAACAGAGACGTCAAGACAAGGGAGGTGCCAGGTGCGCTGAGAGCGAGAGGCCGGGCTCCGAGCAGGGACAGTCCCTGCACAGCCCGAGGTAAGGAGGTGCCGTCGCTCAGTGAGGCAGGGAGGCCCAGCGTGGGGCCCTTGCAGGACAGGGAAAGGGCTCGATTCCATTCTGGAGAATTTTAGCAGTGAGGGGCAAGGGCTCATTTATGTTCCTGGAAGGTCACCTGGTCTGACAGAACTGGAGCGACAGTGCAGAAGTGTCTGGGGACGGTTGTCACAGTCAGTCAGGTCTGAGAGGCCGTGGCTTGTACTAGGGTGGGACCAGTGTGGGACAAGGAGTGAACAGATTCAAAGCAGTGTTAGAGGGAGGCCTGACAGGCGTGCTGATAAACTGGATGGACCGGGGGACAGAGCTGGAGAAATCAAGATAGGCTTGTAGGTTTGAGGAAAGCCACTACGCTGAGGAGGAAGGACCATGAGAGGAGACCGTGGAGCTATTTTAGAGTTTACATTTGCTCATTCGCTCATTCATTCATTTTGCTATAGGGCATGTGCACTCACCAGAGGCAGAGAAAGAGAGGGCAAGTGAGAAAGCACCCCTCAGAGGGGATGGCCACACTGCAATCCCTTCTCCTCTAGGGAATCTAGGCATATGCATACACAAGTGCCCAGAGCAGTTTTCAAGCTGCTGGGTCTGGGACTCAAACTGTGCAGTTGGCCACGTGGGATCTGGCCACCTTAACCTCCACGCCACCAGCTGCCTAAATGTGAACTACAAGAGGCCACCAGACAGCGACATGGACGTGCTGAGCAGGACGATGTGAGTCCAGAGTTGGGAAGAGAGGTGTAGGCTGAGCGTGTGTATCGAGGTGAGCAGCACAGAGATGACACAAGTCACTGGGGCGGAGGGACAGGGACGGTGGTTCTCATCGGCCCGTCCACACAGCAGGGCACTGCATAAAACCCTCATGCCCAGGACGGCCCTCGGACTGAGCAAGTCAGAACCCCGGGAGGGAAAGGACACGGCAGGGGTCCTGGGAAGCTCCCTGGAGGGCTGTACTGGCCACCGGGGCTGTGAAGCATGACCTCAAGGCGTACGTGGGAGAGAAGGGGGTCCAGGGATAAGCAGGCAGGTGTGAGGCCATGGAAGCCAAGAGCAAAGATCTCCGGAGGGCACAGCCGACTACGGGGAAGTCTGCTGTAAGCGGGTTACGTTGGGAAAAGAAAAGTGTCCTCTGGATCCAGCTCACGGAAGCCACTGGTGACCCTGACATGAAGTTTGCTGAGTGAGGGGCAGCTCAGATGACACAGGCGGAGAGTGAGTCTAGATGCGAGGGGGACAGCATGTGCGGAAGAGGCTTTCAACAGCGGCCGGGAACGGGTCACCTGATGGTACGGGAAGTTGAAGGAAACTGAAAGGTCAGAGATACTGTGTGGATCTGGTATTAGGAAGATACGGGAATTCTTGTAGCAGTAGGTTTTCATTCATTTTTTTTTTCTTTTTTTTGAGAGGATTTTTTTTTTTTTGCAATAGGGTGCGTGCGCTCACCAGAAAGAGAGAGACAGAGAGATAGAAAGTGAGAAATCACCCCCCAGGGGGGATGGTCACGCCACAATCCCTTCTCCTCCATTCTCTCGGGATCTTGGGCACGCACGCACACGCGCCCGGCGTGAGTTTAAGCCACAGGGTCTGGGACTCGAATTGTGGTCGACTACATGGGAGTTCAGTGACATAGCCATTACGCTAACTGCTGGTCCCCAGGTTTTCATTCTGAAGTTCTAACATCCTATACTGAGGCCAGGCACAGAACACGGTGCTATGTATCCCTCCTGGAGCTTACGCTTTGGTAGGAGAGACACAAACACACAGACGTGTACCACAGTGACTGAGCTCAGTGCTCTGGGGGCAGGGACAGAAAGTGGTGACAAAGAATAACCCCCACGGGTAGAGCTCAGTGCAAGTATCAGTTCGGCTGAGATCTGAATGAGGAGGAGTGGGGAGGACGGTTCCAGGCAGAGGAGCCAGCGAGTGCGAAGGTTACGAGGCAGGAAAGAACACGGCCTTCTCAAACAAATTTTTGCCAGAGAGCATGTGTGCGAGCCGGAGAGAGACAGAGGGAAAGCAAGAAAGCACCCCCATCGGACACGGCCACGCGGCAGGCCACTCTCCATCTGTCCCTCCTGTGAGGTTCTGGGCATGCGTGCACAAGCATCCGGAATGTGTCTCGAGGCACTGGGTGCGAGATGCGAACCTTGAGGTTGGCCATGTAAGATCCAGCTATCCTCTTCTTCCTGTTAAGAACCTCTGTACCGGCCACCTGTTGGTGGTTAAGGCACTGGATCTCACATGGCCGACTCTGCGATTTGCGTCTCAGACCTGGTGCTTGAAAATCACATCAGGTGAGGTGAATGCGTGCCCAAAAGCCTGAGAAGAGAATGGAGGAGAAGAGACTGCATTGTGGCCGTCCCCCCATAGAGGGTAATTTCTCACTGTCTCTCTCTCTCTCTCTCTCTGGTGAGTGCACACACCCTATGGCAAAGAAAAAAAAAAGAAAGAAAAAGAAAAAATGTTCTAAAAACAACAAAACACCCGCTGCCAAACCTGCTGGGCCACCTCCCCTGCCTCCCGAGGCTGCAGCGACAGAACGCGGGCTCACCATGTAATACTTGATTTTCTGCAGGATGTCGTCGTTGGTCATGATCAGCTCCTTGGCTGTCGTCCCGTCTGCTATGTTGGCTAGGATGCACAGTGTCTGGAAGGACAAAGGGCCGGCAGTCAGGGGCGTTCTTGTCTCCAGCTGGCCTCTCTCAGGACCGTGGGCAACGTCTCCTGAAGGCACACGACTTCCCCGAGGCACCATTCTCAGCGCCTGACTTGTCACCTGCCATCACTACCATCGGCACTAACCACACTCAGGCACAAACGGGCCCACACACGGAGGGCTCTTGCTGGGCGCGGAGCCACAGGTGGGCAAAGGCAGCCGTGTACAGGTCACGTTATCGCAAAAGCGGAAGGAAAACGTAATGACATGTTTCTTGAAAGTTTCATTTCTCAGTGAAATTCTTGTGACCAACTCACAATGTTTCTTCAAAGATGCTCGCTCGCGCTCTCTCTCAAATTCCCTTTTCTATGGAGGGCACGTGTGTGCACTCCACGCTACAATACACCTATGTATTCATTCCTCAACTGACGGACATTAGTTTCTTGATTTTCTGTGATTACCAACTGTTCCAAACATGCGCTTACAGCTTTTGTGTGAACACAGGTTCTCACGGATGTGAGTAAATGCCTACCGATGGGACGGCAGGGCTGTGTAACGGAGCGTATGTTTAACCTTACAAGAAACTGCAAAGCGAGTTTCCCAAGTGGCCGCGTCGGTTTGTACTCTCACTAGATGTTCTACACTGGCAGAAAAAAACCCAGCCGTTCTGACACGCATGCGGTGGTGGTCCACATGGAGGGTCCGTTCCTATCTTTTGCTAAGCCCCTTATTCGGTCTGTTTTCGTGCTGTTCCGAGGGTTCTTTATGTTTCAGAGGTGGTTATTTGCCAGCTCCCTCGCTCACGGGACGTCCCTCCAGTAGATGCCTGTTGTTTCATCCTCCTAACAGCACCTTTCCCGGACTGTGAGTTTTACATTTAATGGAGACTAAGCTACCTTTTCTGGATGACATTTTAAATGTCTCCTCTAGGAACTCTAGGGGCCGGCAGGTGGTGTGGTGGCCAAGGATGCTGGACTCCCACATGGCCGACGGCAGTTCAAGCCCTAGACTTTGAGGCTTGCCTTCTTACTTTCTTTCTCTCTCTCTGTCCCTCTCTGGTCAAATTTAAAAGATAAATTAATTTTTTCAAAAAAGAACTCTTTGCCAAAAGATTTTCTCGTATTTCTGGTAAATGCTTTACAGTTTTATCTTTAAGCACCTTTTTTTTCTCTAGAGGGCAGGAGCTCTTGCCAGAGAGAACGCACCCCCTGGTGGGCGTGGTCACGCGGCCATCTCTCGTCCTTCCAGGTCTCTAAGTTGTGGAGATGAACACACACACAGCCCTGGCGTGATTATTTTCTTTTCTTAAACATTTTCCAGAGGGCACATGTGATCAGTGGAGAGAAGGAGGGGAGAGGGGTGAGAAAGCACCCCACGGGGGATGGTCATGCCACAAGCCCTGAGCCTCCATTTCTTTTAGGGTTTTGGACACACACACACACACCTGCCATGTCCTTTGAACCACCCAGTCTGGGACTTGAACTGCGCAGTCTGCTAATGAGATCCAGTTGCCTTAACTGCCACACCACTGGCTGGCCTTGTAGCATGCTTTTTAAACTGCCTGGGCTGGGATTTGAAACACAGGTGATGATGTGGGATTTGGCATCCTTAACCACTGTGCTACAGGGCTGGCAAAGTTTTTATTTATTTCATCTTTTTTTAAAGAGAGATTTTTGCTATAGGGCACATGTGCTTGCTGGAGAGACAGCGAGACAAAGCGAGAAATCACACCCCAGGGGGGATGGTTATGTCACGATCCCTTCTCCTCTATTCTCCTCTCAAAATTTTGGGCACGCAGACACACACGGCTGGCGTGAGTTTCAAGCCTCTGGGTCCAGGACTCAAACCACAGTCAGCCATGTGGGAGTCCAGCAACGTAACCACTATGCCATCTGCTGGTCCCATATTTATCTATGTATTTTAACAGTGATAAAATATACTTTTATTTACTTCGTTGAGTCAGAGGGCTATAAAAAAAGTGTTTAAGTAGAGAACAGGTAAACAGTAAGGTGTTTTAGAAGTCCAGGTATCTTGGAATTTATTTAAACTAAAGAAAAAGGTCCTATTTTCATGGAATATATACTTTTTTCTTTAAATAACAATTATGACACATAGCAGAAAGAATTAAGGGATGCTGCCCTTGTGATCCATACAAAACATCAATATGTTGGGTTGCACATAATTAAAAAAGTACCTTGGGGACCAGCAGTTAGCGTAGTGGCTATGTTGCTGGACTCCCATGTAGTCGATCTCGGTTTGAGTCCCGGACCCGGTGGCTTAAACTCACGCTGGGCACGTGTGCGTGTGTGCCCAAGATCCCAAGAGGAGAATGGAGGAGAAGGGATTGTGGCATGGCCATCCCCCCTTGGGGTGATTTCTCACTTTCTGTCTCTCCGTCTGTCTCTGTCTGTCTGGCGAGCGCACATACCCTATAGCAAAAATCTCTCCAAAAAAAAAAAAAGTACCTTGAACACCCCTGAGATACGGTGGACATGAGAATGAAATTTAGAAAAGAAAAAGCAAGCGGGACCAGCAGTTAGCGTAATGGCTATGTCGCTGGAGTCCCCATGTAGTCTACCACAGTTCGCGTCCCGGACCTGGTGGCTTAAACTCACACCGGGCGTGTGTACATGCGTGCCCACGATCCCGCGAGGAGAATGGAGGAGAAGGGATTGCAATCATCCCCCCTGGGGGGTGATTTCTCGCTTTCTGTCTCTGTCTCTCTCTGTCTGTCTGGCGAGTGCATGCGCCCTATAGCAAAAACCTCTTCAAAAAAAAAAGAAAAGAAAAAGCAAGAAATCCACTCTGCAGCAACTCAAGGTCTTTAAAATCACAGAGCAAGAAAAGCTATGTAGTTTCATCTTTTACATAAGGTCTATGAGTGAATGTTTTTATCTGTCAGAAGGCAACGTACTCACGGGGGAGAGAGTGAGTGAGCGCACGAGACCAAGCAGCCCTCATCACAGGGCACGGGCACACGGCAATCCCTTCCTCCACTTTGCCCCTTCGGGACTCTGCATGCACGCACGTGTGCCCAGGGTGTTTCCCAAGCCCCTGGGTCTGGACTTGAACCACACAGTTGGCTATTTGGGATCTTAACGAACAGGCCGTGGGCTAGCCCAGTCAGGTAAACTTTTAAAATACAGTTTGTTTATTTCTCCCATGAGAGAGAGTAAGAAAATCAGCGGCAACAGGGTGTCCGTGCTGGGAGCCACTCCCGGCCCCAGCCAGCCAGTTCGAGGGCGCATGTGAAAGCTCAGAGTGCAGAGGGAGACCGAGGGACAGGGGCCTGCGACCTTCCCAACGGCCTCAGCACAGCAGAGCTTTCTGCCATGCTGTGCCCTGTGAGGAAACTGTTGTTTTTTTTTTTTTTTTTAAGGTTTCTGTGTGTGTGCACTCACCAGAGAGACAGAGAGAGGGAATGTGAGAACTCACCCCCCAGAGGAGATGGCCATGTTGCAGTCCCCTCTTCCATTCTCTTGGGATTTGGGGCACACGTTCATACGCAACCAATGTGATTTTCAAGCCGCTGGGTCTGGGACGCACCGTGGCTGGCCATGTGGGAGTACAGAACCTTAACCACCATGCCACGTGCCGGTCCCACCTATGAGTTTCGATCTAAGGTGTAAGGTACAGTTCAGAGTTAATCTTTGTTGGAAATTGTTATAGCATCATTTGTGGGAAAGATGATTCTCTGTTAACTTCGTCAATAATCAACTAGCCATATACTAGGGAACTTCGAAACGTCAGTGGAAATGTGAAATTAAAAGAAGTTTATTTTGATGCAAAAAATTGGAATCCAGTTTTGCCTAATTTGCATTTCCCAAGAATTATTTGAAGACCCTCATGTGTGTGAGTCTACTTCTAGACTCTCTAATCGGTCCCACTGATCAATACATGTTACTGCTGACAGCGTACCGCCTTAATTACTATACTCGCATCGTCTGCAACTCCGGTATCATGCCTCCTCCAGCTTTGCATCCAACCCCCCCGCCCCCACCGTTCAGGGCAAGTGGCGGGATAGCGGTAGGGCAGCTGGACCCAGAGAACAGGTCCTGGGCTCAGGTCCCAGGATCCCCCGAGCACGCCAGGTTTGCACACGCCACGGTCCAGGCCAGCCGAGCCGAGGACTAGGCTGTGGCCTGAGGACCCTGCTGGGCGAGCCTGGCTTTCAGAACCGTCCTGGCTGTTCTAGTCCCTGTGTTTGAGAGCCTGTATCTAAAGACAGAGATGTCAGATATTGTATTTACTGCACACTGGGGTTTCCAGTAAGGGCGTGTTACCTCTATAAATCAGTCTGGGGAGAATCGGTATCTTAAGATGGGATATCGCTCCATTTCTCTCCGTTTTTATTTTTTGCATTAATATTATTAGGACTTTATCATTTTAACTACACAGCTCCTTGTGAGGTTGCAGTCAGTATGTCCTTTATCTTTCTTTCTTTTTTTTTTTTTTTTGAGGGATTTTTGCCATAGGGAGTGTGTATTTGCCAGAGAGACAGAAAGTAAGAAATCACCCCAGGGGGACAGCCACGCCACAATCCCTTCTCTTCCATTCTCCTCTCAGGATCTTGGGCACACGTGTACATGTTCCCAGATTGAGTTTGAAGCTGTTGGGGCCAGGACTTGAACCACGGTCGACTACGAGGGAGTGCGGCTATGTAACCATTACACCATCTGCTGGTCCCCCTTCTTTTTTTTTTAAGCTACTGTAAATGGTACTATCATTTTACTATTTTTTTTCCTTAGAGATTTTTGCTATAGGGCATAAGTTCTCACTAGAGAGAGAGAGAGACAGAGAGAGCGAGAGAGAAAGTGAGAAATCACCCTTGAGGGGGGGGTGTGTGGCCACATCACCATCCCTTCTCCTCCGGCCTTATCTATGAGTTCCAAGGCTAGGGGTTTGGGACTTGAACCATGGTTGGCTATGTAGGAGTCCAGTGCCTCAACCACCATGCCACCTACTGGCCTTGGCATTGTCTTTTAATATTT